ATTATATATAAAATTTAAAAAAGAAGAATAGAAGGGGAATTATAAAAGAATACTGCAAATCTCTCGTGTTCTGCAGGGTTAGCAGTTAACTGATAATTATGTTCTCTCAATATATACTTAGTGTAATACGTACGTATATATAAACCATCATATATATATCAAACAAACAAAACTAGATGACACGAGAAAAAAAGCTCGAATTAGAGAGATGCAAACTGAGTTCCTAGCATTATATTGCTTTATGCCTTTATTTTCTATTTAAGATATATTAATTAAACAATATATAACTATATATTTAAAAGAATAAAACATCTGAACACAGATGTCAGTTTCGGCTTGCCGGAGAGCACTATAAATGGCATACATATGTATGCATATATATACACCAAAATGCTCAATATTTTGACGTCTGAAAACACCTACATATATATATATTTTACTATTATGTTTTTAATTGTGTCAAATTATGAGTTATAACTTTTTCGAATGTACATTTAAAAGAAACAACAAGTGTGCAAGCGTATGCAAAAACAAATTATTTTAGAAAATGTGCCAATGCTGTAGTTTCACATATATTCGCGTGTTTGTATATACATGTGTTCCTATATATTTAAATATGCATACATTTTGTAGCGAGACGCGACTGGCTGACTAACTGACTGATTGACTTATTGACTAAAGTCATAGTTTTATTTATTCCTTTTGTCGAACGAGATTATGCATACATTGTTCGAGCAGCTGGCTAAATTATGTATTGCTTCAAAATATTTCAAATTTAGCTTTTCAAATCAAGTTTCCCAATAACTTCTTCTAATTATACGACAGTTATCAGATAGTTAACTTCTACTCTACAGGTCCTCACTATGGCACCTTAATATACCAGGCGATCATACCCTATCGTACCCTATTATAATATTATGTATTTTATTATAAATGATAAATGCATATACAGTCCTTCGAAAATACGCAAGGCAATTAACAATTTGTTTATCAAATCAGCTAATTATATCTTTAAATGAATCAACTTCAAAATGATATGCCAGTTATCTTGGAATTGATTTTTCGCTCGCGAGCGCAAATTTACTTTACAATTAAATTGGACTTAATAGTTATATTTTATTTTTTGCAACTTTTGTTAAATATGTTTTAAGCTTCCATAACAGTGTCAAATATTATACCGTTATATATGAACATCACCATCTCTAATAACATTTGTAAATATATCTGTTCTTATGCGTTATCCTCATTAAAATGAAAGTATAAAACTGCGATCTTGATTCCAGTTCAAAAAGGCTGAAGAGGATGTTCTGCTACATACGAGCCCCAACCACTAATGATTCAGCACACTATACTAAAGATACCGCATTCCAATGTACTTTGTCTTAATGAGAATTTCATATTATTGACGATGAAAAAAATGTTTATTCTATTTCTAACAACAACAACAATATGAGTAATTTATATAAAAGGTAAACTTAAGTGGTAAGAAAAAAATTACCACTATTAATTCGCGCGCTCCATAATATGATTTCCTAACATACTTAAAACAACAATTTAATTAACATTACAATTGTGTAACGTCGCCTTTAACCTGTAATACGCATTAAACCCAAGTTTGTGCAGTTCTCTTGAGAAATTAATTCCTACATCTCTTGCAACTTGATTTTCAAGTCGGGAATGTTCCCTTGTGGCTCCTTTGGAAGCTTACTTTTGCTGTGTGCGAGCTCGCTCCGTCCTGCTGAAAAGGGAATTCATCGTTAAGAAAATACAACTTCTTTAAGACAAAATGCATTGGTAAGCGTTATCTTTAGTAGTATTTATAGCATAGAGTGTTGAACATGGCGCTCTGCAAGCTTTTTCTAAGCGATTTTTGTCAGCGATCTGAACACTTTCAGTTTGAATCCAGGCTATAGGTATCTCATCTGTAGACCCTTCGTGGTGTCTCGTAGCGGGGCACCCACGCCATGAGTACTTTAGTTATTGATTTCAAATTAGCTCTAGGCACAAGACGAACAGATTTAAGGGGAATGTGATTCGGGGGTGATCCAAAAATGAATTTGTTGCAAGACAACGGCAAATATTATTACGGTTGATATGCTACATTTCAAAATGTGAAATGTGTGTGCGTTAAAATACTTAATTCTCGAAAGGTGTATTTGAAGAATTTCAAAATATATATTTTACTATTGTACACTCCATTAAAAACCTTTTTTTTTTTTTT